CAGCGAGACGGCCGCGACGCGAGCGATTTCGGCGGGGCTGTCGCAGCGAGCGAGGACGCGCTCGAGGAGCTCGGTGGGGAGGTCGAGGAGGCGGGCGGGCGGCGGCGTGTCTGGCGAGGGAGCGGCGGCGGAGGAGGAGGTGGCGAGGCGGCGCGAGCGGCGCCGCGGCGGGGCAGACATCGCGAGAAAAAGAAAAAAATCGCCGCTGCACCCGTGTCATTTCAGAGTCGCTCCTTTTCTTTTGAAAAGGTTCAACGCTCGCCTCCTCCACAGTCAAAGACATGCACGCCACCGTGGATTCCCTCTGGACTTTGGCCGCAGACGCGTTGCACCCGCATGACGCAAGTCTTTGAAAAGTTACCGATGTCTTCCTCAGAGTCCCTCCTTTTCTTTTGAAAAGTTCGCCCTCCGAAAAGGAGAGTTTTCCGGACCATCCCGCCCTCCGGGCATACTCCGCGAACTCCCACACACGCCGATACACGCGCGGCCGGCGCCTCTCATACCCCCGTCTCCACACACACCGCGTGAAAACCGCGCGTACACGTCCCCGCGCGCACGCAAACACACGTGCAGCGCAAATAAACCTGTGCCATGCGTGCGAAAGCCCTGTGCTAGCGCCCCATGGATCTCCGCGGCCATCCCGCGCCGCGCGCCCGCACGCCAGCTGCGCGCCCCTCCAGCAAAAGTTTTCGTTTACGCTAACCCGAATGCATCCGCCCACGTACCCACGCTCGTAACCCACACCGCCGTGCAAACCCGAGTGGATAGCCATACCACCCCCCAACAGGCCAGGCCACGCACGAGGCAAACGTCTTCGCCGGTGCGCCAGCCACCAGCACCGTGGGCACACAGCGAGAAACCACAGGGCGAGAGAGGCCGCCCACGAGGCCCTCAACAACCTCGGCCCGATCTCGGCTCGATCTCGGCTCGACCTCGGCTCGATCCTTGTTGGTGATATTCGCTACCTCAGCGCTATCTCGACGCTAGCTCGAGAGGCCGACGCCCAAATCGTGGCTCAGCGCGACTAGCTGCGCGTCCACCTACTCACAGCCAGAGCCGTGAAGAGACGCCGTCCACACCTGCACAACGCGAAGAGAGCCGCCAAACCACCCGCTCCCTCTGCCCTGGGTCGACCAGCTCCAAGGCTTTCGCGCGCTACATATCTCCTTCTCTCGCATTTATAGCTCTTTTTTTTTTTTCTTTTTTTTTTTTTTTTTTTTTTTTC